AAAGTTTTTGAAGGAAAAAGTCTCATGACCCAATTCTTAAAACCTCTCCTCATAGGCATTGTCTTCTGAGTGATAGAAGCATCATTTTCTCATATATGCTGGTGATCCCCAGCTCCTCATCTCCAGACCAAATCTCACTTATAGGCTCTGGACCCATACATTCAAGTCTTAATGGCTACCCCCATTGATTGTGTCATATATATGTCCAAGAAATCAAGTGGAACTCATCATCTTTATTCCCCCTTCTGAGATCAAGCCTGCCCTTCCTCTCTCAGTGAATGGTAACACCAGTGACCAAGTTGCTCAAGTCAGAAGTCTCTAGGTTCTTTGTAAGTAGGGACTGTGTTGGTTCTTAGCTGAGGCAATATACTGTGTCTAGTTCAGTCTTTGGAACATGTACTGTGGAAGGTGCTAATAACTGTGTGTTGAATGACCGAACGAATGCATGGGCATCAGCCTTGATTCTCCTCTCTCACCACTTGTGTCTAGTCAATAAGTTCTATCAATTCTCTCATCCATTTCCTTCAAAGTGGTCTTCTTATCTTCATCCCCACCAGCATTTTCCCAGTCCCAGTGGTCACTGTTTCCCACCTGAGCTACAACTGTGCCCTTTACTTGGTCATCTGGCCTTTTCTCTTGCCACCTCCCAATCTATTTTTTATATAGCAACTAAAGCTATCTGGAAATAACAGAAAGCTGATCCCATCACTTCTTAAAACCCTTCAGTAGCTCCCTGTTGTCATCACGATGAAGCTCCATCTTGGCCTTGCAGATCACTCAATTTCATTTCTACTTATCTCCATACCCTTACTTTCCAACTTTCTCCTTCCTTTCCTTCTCTCGCACTATGCTTCAGCAGAAGAAACTTTCTGCTGTTCTCCAAATGCAACATGTCTTTCTCTCTTCTAGACTTGTGCTCAAGTTGCTCCTTTTACCTGGTAATTCCCCGAATTCTTCAAGACACAGCAGGGATACGTTCCGCTTTGGTGTCCTGTTTTAGATTCTATTGCTGCTGCAACAAATTATCTCACATGTCAGATTATAATGTGAGATAACTCTCGTAGTTCTCAAAGTCAGAGATCAGGTGGGCTTGGCTGGGTTCTCTGCTTTGGGTCTCAAAAGGCCAGGGCTGCATTACTTTCTGGAGGCTCTGGGGAAGAACCTCCTTCCAAACTCATTCAGGTTCTTGACAGAAATCAGTTCCCTGCAGTTGTAGGACTTAGGTCCTATTTCCTTGATAGCACCTGGCCCCCTCCACATTCAAGCCAGCAGCAGCATGACGAATATTACTCATGCTTCAAATATCGTCAACATCCCTCTTGCTGCATCTCTTTCACTTTAAGGGCTCATGTGATTTTATTGGTTCCACCTGGATAATCCAGGTTACTCTCTTCATATTCACAGGTTCTGAGGATTAGCGCATGAACATCATAGGTCACCATTATTTTTGCAGACCACAGATGTGTACCTTCAAATCTGGGTTCCATGTCCCTCCCTTGTGCTTCTGTAGCAGACACTTTGGTTGTCTAACCAATGACTATCTCCAGCTGGAACGGAAACCCTTCTAGCTGTTAGAACCTGACTCGCACTCTGGAGGGTGCCAATATCACATTCTCACTTTCCCAGCCTCCTTTATAGTTAGGACGTAGGTACGTCTGCCAGGGTACTCTGGGAAAGGTAGTCTTTCCTGATTAAAAAATTTGTGGCCAGCCAGGCATGGTGGTCCATGCCTGTAATCCCAAGTGTAAGCACTTTGGGAGGCCAAGTTGGGAGGTTCCCTTGAGTTTGCAGCCAGCCTGAGCAACATAGGACCTCCATCTCCATGAAAAGTTAAAAAGTTAGCCAGGCCTGGTGGCACACACCTGTGATCCCAGCTGCGTGGGAAGCTGAGGTAGGTGGATTGCCAGATCCCAGGGTGCAGTGAGTCATGATTGTGCCATTGAACTCCAGCCTGGTTGGCAGAACAAGATCCTGTCTCAAAAACCAAACCAAACCAAAACCAAAACCAAAACAACAACAAAACCCAAAATCAAAATCAAAAACAAACAAAAAAGCAATCTTAGAAGAGAACTCACTTTCCAATCTTTATGCACCATGATATAAGAACATGATGTTCAGAGGTACAGCAGCTACTTTGAGGGGTATGTATGAGGCCAAATCCAACACATAGGGCTGGTGAAAAAGATAATTGAAATGAGTCTGGGTTCTTGATGACATTAGCAAATTGCTGAATTAACCTATCCTGCTATACTGTACCTTTAGACTTCTTGTTTATATTGTCCTTATTGTTCCTCTTGCAGCTCAAAGTATCCCAATCAGTAACTCCACAGAGACCTTTTCTTCACCTGTGCTAACACTCACCACACTGTGTTAATGTCTGTGGCCTTGTCTTCAGTTCTCTCTAAGCTGTAAGATCTTGAGGGCAGTCAACCTCCCCACCTTATACATGTATTCTCTCCTGCACCTAGCATAGTGTTTGGCACAGTAAACACTTAGTAATTATTTGCTAAATGAGTGATTGAACGGATGGATGGATGGATGGATGGATGGATGGATGGATGAAAGTTCCCCCTCTCCTTCAATGTCTTCTACTCTAAGCAGCTACTTATCTCCCCATGACCAGAATTGTCACATATGGTTGGTCAGGTTGTGTACCCTCCACAGAGGTACCTGGTTGAGGGGGCAAGCAGATACTGAAATCAAGCTTGCTCTCCCCTCATCAAGCCGTGACCCTGGCATGGGGCTGTGTCTACCTGGAGGAAGGAAAACTTTGCACAAAGTTGCCTTAAGACTCATAGCAGTGCAGTGACAGCCCGGATTCTGACTTTTTTAGTCTGATAGGGTGCAAGCCCTTGCTAGTTCTTTTCCATCCTCCCATGAAGTGAAGCACAGGATCATTGTCAGGTTCCAGACACCATGTTCCAAGGAGATGGGCAACTATTTTGAGAAGCTAATTAGCATTTAAGTGGTTGTGGGAGCTCTTATGTTTTAATGTGCTATCTCTGTCTGGTGACAGACTGGTCATTTTAATGGCAATTTTCTGGGAATTACGACTCAATATAACAGAAACCGCCAAAATGGGAGTCAGGAGACCCAGACTCAAGTTTGAGCCCTGGCATTAATCAGGCTCTGAGTGTTTGGGCAAGTCACCAAACTCTGTCCTTTAGTTTCGTCATCTATAAAATCATGTTCTGCAGAATTTAGGAGTGTTGAGAAGAGACCTTAGGCTTCTCAGTGGTGAATAGGGGACAGGGAAAGAGTGGATATGAGGCTCCAGCCAGAGCAGCTCTGCTTTTGCCTACTTTATATATAGGACTATAAAAAATTGATTTTAATTATGCAAAAAATACTAATATATTTTCCTGGTAAGAAATTAGAACATTGCAGATACAACTAAAGCCCCTTTGGCCACCATACTCCCGAATTCCTGTGTATCTTGGACTTGCATTTAAGATTTCCATTTGAACAAAGGGACCCTGGCTCAAACAAGTTGGGGGACCATTGGTCTGGTTAACCCCTAAACACCCCAAACACTCAACAAAGAGAAATTTTGGGGAAATGGACAAGCCATGGCTGGAGAATGTTCTACAAGGTTGAGCAGAAATCCATGCAATAATTTGCTGAAGTAGGGCATTTTTCTGGGTGCTGTGATTCCAGGGAGATGTCACTGCTGTGTGCTGGCTGTATGCCCAGGAGAGGGCTGGTGGCTGGGAGGACACAGCTTTCTGAGTCAGGACTAGAAGATTTCTGTACATGTCCAAAGTCAACCTTCATATTCATGGGGAGAGAAGAAGTGGGCTTTAGGATTGCCTCTCCTTGTTGGCCTGCTCTGAGAAAAACAATCGCGGGAGGGTTAGCGGGGAGAATCTCTTGAGCCCAGGAGTTTGAGGCTGCAGGTTAGAAGCTGCAGTGAGCTATGATTGTGCCGCTGCACTCCAGCCTGGGCGATGGAACACTGGGTCCTGTGAACCTTGTCTCATTTAACCCCCACAGCACACAGGAGGTGGTGGCACTATTAGCATACTTGTTCTAGAGGTGAGGGCACACCACAAAAAGATAAGGAATTGCCTAAGGGCACAGAGCTGGTAAGTGGTGAGTCCAGGTGTTAGCCCAGTCTCCTTGCTTCAGGATCCAGTGCACACCCCTATGCTCTGGACTCCTTCCAGGTGCTGTTGCTCTTGCTGTCATTTTAGCTTCATTACACCTATCTGTGTGTCGGACGTGGGAAGGAGGAAGCTCAGTGAATACTGTGGCTTACCTAAAATTTGTCCCTCGACTTTCCCTCTTCACCAAACCCCAGAGCCACTGGCAGAATATTCAGTTCCTTGGTACCCTTCATGCTCGGGTTAGTTCCTTTTGCAAGCAGCCTGATGGGTAGAGGTGAGGGGATGGCTAGTGCTCCTTATGAAAGGAGACAGGGGAGCTTAGTGAGCAGTTGCAGGGCCCTGAAGCTTGTCACACGCTAGCAGCCACCGGGTGGAGAAGCTGCGCATGACCGCAGAGGGCAGGCGCCCTGCCAGGGCGCTCTTGCGCCTACTGCGGAACCCAGGCGTGCGTGAAGGTAAATGCAAATCAGCTCCGCCCAGCGCTCCCCGCAGAAGGAGAGTTTTCAGTATGCACACCTGGTTTTCTCCGCCTTCAGCCAGAATGCTGATTTTATTTTTGCGTTTTATGAGCTGGAGAGAGGGAATTCATTTCCTTGGTATAATATGACCCTCTGGAGAGTCTTGTCCAAATACATTTTGCTCTCAAACGCCGTCCTGGAAGAAGGTCTATACTGAAATGAAACAGAGATGATTAAACTCTGATTTATAGGTAAGGTGAATTGGTAGGTTTATGCCAAATTATTACATCCAGAGAGGGTGAAAGGGAATGAAAGGGCTCCTCTCGAGAGCTGGAAACCTTTGTAAAAAGAAACATTTATGGCGCACATACCTTTAACCCAGTCAGATTATATTTTATTGTATTCACCACCGTTTCCCTTTTCTCTTTCTCACCAGACTGTACAAGCCCTGAAAGCAAGAACTGGGTTCATGGCATCTTGATATCCCCATATGGAGACATTTTGGAGATTCTATTTATAAGAAAGAGATTTTACGCCGAAAGGCTTTTAAATCTGTTAACAGCCTGGACCAGCTTTCTCCTCCCCATTGGCGGGTTAGTGATCCCTCCATGCCAACCGGATTTTCAGAGACACCAAGGCCAGGTAACAACCAACCCTTCGTACCCTAAACCCTGCAAAAAGCACAGGGTCCAGAATTATGCTTCTTTCAGGTTCTAAGTGGCACAATAAAACTAATAACAATAAGCTTTTAGTTATTGGATCAGTTACTTTTTACTTTACAATAAGCTTTTACTTATTGGATCAGGTACCTTTTAAAGCAATTTCTGAACATTATTTCATTTAATCCTCACAACCACACTATGAGGTAGGTACTATTATTTCATTTAAAGGATGAGAAAACTGAGGCTCAAAGATGTTAAATAACTTGTTCAAGGTCACAGCTAGTCAGCGGACATAGCTGCCATTCACTGAATGCTTCCTGTGGGCCAGGCACGGTGACCATCACATTGAACCAATTATTTATTTCATTTAATAGTGCCCTTGATCCTTAAGAAGTGACCTCCAGTGCTTAGAATTCCAAGCATTTGGTCCTTTGAAGATGAAAATCATGGGAAGGCAGGGTCTTATTCACCCCTGTATCCAGAAAGTTGAGGATGGTGCCAGGCACTCCAAAAATACTGAATGAAAAGACGGTAGAGGTGCTTTCCTGTGGGATCTTCCACCTCTCCCCACCTTCAGGTGAGTCCTGCTGATGCTCAGGCTGCCCTTGGAACAGGGACCTTGGCCACTGTTTCCTTACCTGTAATAATGGGATGAGAATTCCTCCTGCACAGAGTTGTTAGGGACACAGTGAGACAGCTTCTATGGCTGCATTTGGCCCTTAGTTTTTTCACTTTCTTCTTGAACATGGGAGAGGGAAGACAAACTCTTAAGGGTATGACTCTTGAAGATTTTTTCAGAGGGGGGCCTGCAGGTTAATGTCCTCACATGTCTTACACCTCACAGAGGTCAGCAAAGCAGGGTATCACCAAAGCCCCATCTGGTGTCGTTGGAAATCAAGTGCTCCATGTCTTCACCAGGCTCATGCCAGCAGTGAGGGGCAGAACTAGGTTTTCTGACACCAAACCCCAGGTTTCTTCCTGCGCTGGCCTGGGTCCTTTTTCTGATTTGGTCAGCAGCGTCTCATAGATGGGGGTCTGATGTTTAGGAGAGTGTCTTTACTTTTTGGTTGAATCATTTTCTACTTTAAAAATAACTATGGGGGTAATGTTTAATGGGTACAGAGTCTCAGCTAGGGAAGATTAAATAGTTCTAATGACGGGTGGTAGTGATGGTTGCACAACAATATGAATGTATTTAATGCTCCTGAACTGTATGCCTAAAAATGGTTAAAATGCTACATTTTATGTTATGAATATTTCACCAAAATTAAAAAAAAAATAAGGTCTGTCTTTCTCACATGTCAAGAAATCTGGGGTAGGTAGATACGGGGGTTGGTTCAGCTGTTCCATATGATGCCATGAGGGTCTGGAGTCTTTCTTTATTCTTGTTTTGTTTTGTTTTGCTTTTGAGATGGAGTCTCACTCTGTCACTCAGCCTGGAGTGCAATTGTGTGATCTTGGCTCACTGCAACCTCCGCCTCCTGGGTTCAAGTGATTCTTCTGCCTCAGCCTCCTGAGTAGCTGGGATTACAACAGTATGCCACCAAGCCCAGCTAATTTTTGTATTTTTTTTTTTTTTTGGTAGAGATGGGGTTTTACCATGTTGGCCAGGCTGGTCTTGAACTCCTGCCCTCAGGTGATCTGCCCATCTCAGTCTCCCAAAGTGCTAGGATTACAAGCGTGAGACACTGCACCTGGCCTGGAATCTTTCTAGCTTGAGTTTTTGCATGGTGGCTTTCATGCTGGTGCAAGGTGTCCTCCAAAGCTTCTCAAGATTTTTTCTGCTTAAGAGAGGAAGAAGGAGGGAAAGGGTGATGCCAGTCATGGCTCTGTCTTTCATCAGAAAAGTCAAAGCCTGTCAGCAACCCTCCCAGCAGAATTTTCTTACATCTCATTGGCAAGAACTGGGTGTTTTGGCTGTGCTGGGCAGCAAAAGTGGCTGAAAAAGTTTTCGCTTAAATTCCCAACATTTAGCACTGAAGAGGGCATTGGGGAGAAAACAGTTGGGAATGAGTATTGATTGGAAAACCAGTAGGCCGTGTCTAACACCTGCTCAAGGCCACATGGTTATGTAACAGGTCTGGCTGGGCCTAGAGTCTGCTCCTCTGATTCCCAATCTTGAGATCTTTGGCTTAGACATTTAATACATTTTGTAGTGGTTAGATGTGCAATAAAAAGGACAGTCCTGGAGAATATTTTTAAAGAAGAAAAGCTTTGTGTTGCATGCACTGAAATTAATCGAATGCTAAGAGGTCATGTTGGAAAAGCACTGGGCAGGGTGGGAGCCAGAACATCTGAGCTCTGCCCCAGGCTAGCCAGAAATCTGGGGAAATGTCCCCAGTTCTCAGAGTTTATGAAATGTGATTATTATTATTTTGAGACGGAGTCTCGCTCTGTTACCCAGGCTGAAATACAGTGGCACAATCTCCACTCACGGCAACTTCCGCCTCCTGGGTTCAAGTGATTCTCTTGCCTCAGCCTCCATGGGACTACAGGTGCCCGCCACCATGCCAGGCTAATTTTTGTATTTTTAGTAGAAATGGGGTTTTACCATGTTGGTCAGGCTGGTCTTGAACTGCTGACCTCAGGCGATCTGCCTGCCTCGGCCTCCCAAAGTGCTGGGATTACAGATGTGAGCCATTGTGCCTGGCCCCGAAATGTGATTATTTATTTATTTTTAAAAAATCTGGTTAGTGTTGTTCATTAAATGTCCATTAAGTACTTTGGTAACTCTAGATGAAAGACCCTATAGGGGGACAAACACTTGTTATTAACAACCATGTGCTGTCAAGTGTGGGCTTATAACACAGGACCGTATGCTCCAAAGGTTGGAGTAGAATGATGGAAGTGATCCACCATTTCTCCAGGCCAGGAGCAGAGTGGCATAAGGCTCCAGGGGATACTTGAAATCAAGAAAGCAAACAAACACTCCTATAATAATTACCGTCCCATGGCAAGGAAGCCTGAATGTGCACACTTGGATTTTGGGGATAGCAGGAAATTTGACTGCATCCCCTTGGATCCCATCATTTGCTCATTCCATGGGAAGCACCAAGGGTGCTGGCACCCCCTCTTCTCTAAGTCTTCCTGTGTGGTTCTGGGTTACACAGATCCTTCTCTTTTATTCTCACCCCAGGATACCATATATCCTGGACATTTTAGCGTTTAATGGTAGTGAAGTTAACTTTTCATCCTTGTCTTATAAGCAGTGTCAGGAGTGCGCACTGTTTGGGAGATGCAATGCAAGGCTTTTTGAAACTTCCCAACCCCAAGGGCTAGCAGAGGTCCATATGTATTGCAAACCCTCAGTAAATACTAGAGCTGGACCTAAGAGCTGAGATGTCCGTGGCTGTACCAGGTTAGAGTTTTATTTTATGATTCTGGGGAAACTAGTAGTCGATTTCAGGACAAAGCGTGGAAGAAGTGAGAGCATCCACCTGTAAAGAAGGCACAATGCAGTTTGGTGCCCTTACAAAGGATCCTTCCTGGTCAGATTATAGGGACATCCCCTGAGTTCAGAAAGACACTGACTTTGGAAATACTATAAGGGGAAAGAGCAACTCTGCAAAATTTAGAATGGGATCACTCCAAGAAAGGGCAATTCTTAAATGATAGGGGAAAAAATGCACCCCTAGTAGACTTGCAAGCAGAATACACAAATCGGCTGAGAAAGCCCAAATTATGATTACAAAGAAGAGTTTTTACTAGTTCAGCCTCAGAATGCAAAAATAAATAAATAAATAAACAGAAAACAGACATAATCACTTTACAGAAAGCACATACGTTACTTAAAATAGCAACTTCATGGAGTAATACTTTCTGGTCATAACTGCATATCAGCTTCGCTCATACTAATGAGAAAGGGATTCCAGATTTTCTCTGCATCTGTCTGCTTCTCACATGGCTGTTAAGAAGCCACCTGCAATTCTGCTGATTTTATGTCCTTAGCCATAACTACTTGTCCTCTCTCTTGAATCTTAAAATCGTTTTGCCTTCCAGACACTTAAGGTGTTTTTGTGTCATCCTCATGTGTATTGTAGAGAGGTGGGGGTAAGGACTGCCATTGAAGCTAAAGCTGAGTTTTAATTTCAATCTTTTTTTTTTTTTTTTTCCCAGACTGGGTATCATTTTGTCACATAGGCTGGAGTGCAGTGATGCAATCAGGGCTCATCATAGCCTTGACACCCTGGGCTCACGTGATCCTCCTGCCTCATCCTCCTGAATAGCTGGGACCACAAGCATGAGCCACCATGCCTGCATAATTTTTAAATTTTTTGTAGAGACGGGGGTCTTGCTATGTTTCCCAGCCTGGTCAATCATTTTGTTTTTTTAGCGCTTTCAAAATTCGGGCATCCAAAGATTAAACTTGCTTAGAAGTGCAAGTGGCCCTAAATTGCTTTATCACCACCACCTCCAGGAAGTCTTCACAGACATGAGAACTAGCATCCCAGCATCTTCTTCTCCAGGATCTTCTCAACAGGTTTGCATCGTCAGGTTTCTATTTAAGTATCTCTTGTGTTCCCATCCATCACTAATATATGATGGCACTGGTATCAGGACACTGTGTTCTTCCCGATTGTCATAAAACAGATGTACTTGCAGCCTTGCTTGAAAAGTTGTCAGTATAAATACAATTAAATTCAAATTTTGCATAATAGGGACTGACCCTGATGGATCAGGTCATGACAGTATGAAACATTGAATACGTCCTGGCACACAAATGTTAAATCACAGTAACAAATTAATAAATACATAAATTACTTAAATATTTAAATAGCACGAAGGTCCATGACAACTTGAGAGCTGGAAAATCTATACATAAATTAGCTGATTGTTTCAATGGGTATTTAGCATCTAGTTATACAAATACAGCAAAGATATCATTGTGACCCTAAAAAAGTTTTTTTAAGCAAATCAGATAGAAAATATCTTTTTGTGTCAATTCCATTCTGTCTTTAAACATATTGCTTAATATCTTCCAGTTTTCCTTCAAATTTTCTTCCTGGGATTGGAACCTGGAAAACAATGCCAAAAATCTACATGGGGTGGACATTGCAACAGCAAACTCTTCTTATTTCTCTTAACACATTATCTTGGGCAGTTGGGTTTTGGGGATTTCATGCCAGAAGGCCCAGGTCTTCCTTATGTGGCCTGGAATTTAAGGCCAGAGGCTTTCTTGAGAGTTTTCTTTAAAGAATATCTGATTGTATTAATTCCTTGCTGAAAACCCAGTGGGTTTCAGGGCCCAGGGCCCTCAGAACAACGTTCTTAGTCCTGCAAGCTTGCAAGTCCTCCATGCTCTGCCTCCTGGCTACCTCTCTCTTCTTTGCCTTCCTCTTTAGGAAGGCAGAACCCAGGTCTGTTTTCTTTCCTGCAATATCCCTGTGGCCAGCACAGTGTCCTACATAACACAGGCACCAAATAAATATCTGTTCATAAATAAATATGTTTCTGATTCTGGCAACTGGGTGCCGGCCACCCCATCCCCCTTTCCTCCCCAGCACAGCCCCCAATCATATCCCTGCACCCAGGTGCACTAAGTGTGGAGGTCTGGGCTGGGCTTTGAGGGCCTGCTCACCTAACTGCAGGGCACAGATGCCCATTCGCTCCAAGATGAGCTATAGTAGCGGTCCTGGGCCTGCACGCTAATGTTGGCATTTTTGCGGCAGATGACCGTGGCTGAGGTCTTGTCCACACAGACTCTGTCTTTCTGCAAAAGAGAAGGAAAGCTTTGAAGGCCCCTTGGCAACACAGTCACAAGGTAAGCCGAGCCTATTTCTGCAATGCATAATCTCCCAAAACAAGCCCATCTTGGTCTTAGGGCACTATGCTTGCAATTCACAAGGGAGTGTGCAGAACTTGCACCACCTACTGGCAGACACTCCAAATACACGTGCAGCTTTTGTACTTTGTAAGCCTTTGAGGGAGAAATCATTTGGCCCAGCTTTCATCTTTCTAGCACAGTTGCCTTAACTGCCTCAAGTACCTATGGCCGGTCACCCAGTCCTGAGCTGATGGTTAGAGAGAGATAGATTTGCTCCAGCTGTCCCTGAGATATTCAGAAATACCATATCCTGATCCTTTCATCAGAAAACTTGCCTTCAATTCCTGGCACTGCGACTTAATAGCGGTGTAACTTCAGGAAAATGTCTCAGGTTCTCTGTGTCTGTTTCCTTACTTATACGTGGGGATAACAATAATGCCTACTTCACAGAATTGTAGAAGTTGAGGTAAAAATCACGTCAAACTCTTAGCAAGTCTTTAGCATATAGGAAGCACTCACCTATTAATCATACAGATCTTAAATAAGGAAAGTGCTTGTCAAGATGTAAAATAAAATTTAGGTAAATATCTATTCCAGAATAGCCTCCCCACCTATTGTTTTTTCCCCAGAGAGTAACTAACTCACTGAATTTCTACTACATGCTAAATGCTATGCTAAGTTAAGGCTTTGCCAGTGATTTTAAAAGTGGGGTCAAAGGAGACAAAGAAATGTGTACAAAAGGGCCTCTAGAACCTTGCAATAGGCAAAATAATTCCTTGATGGCAATTCTTCCCAACCAATCTTTCCTTAGCATTTGAAAAGGGACTTCTTTCTTAGACTATAAACCCCTCCAAAATGGACACCCATTTTGGAAGGCAAGGAAGTGGGAAAGCCATTGTCTTAGTCTCTATAAGTGTAGACATCCTGTTTAATAAAATAATTTTAATATCTGGAACAGCCAGGAGCTACCCATTTTTTGGGCAATATCTCTTGCATGTTCTATCATTTGTTACATGCACTCAGTTGAAACAACAATTTTAGGTTTCTTGAGCCCAGGTTTCCTATATCAGGATGAATTCTGAGTGCCAAGATCAATGACCAACCAGACCAGAGGTGATAGGCTGGTTAGGTGCGTGGGCTAACTATCCAGCAGGTGGAGTTTGTATCCTGGTTTTGTCATTTCCTAGCTGGGTGACCTTGGGAAAGTCACTTAACCTCCCTGAGTCTTCAATCACTTATGAAATGATTATAATACTACTGGCTACCCACCATCCTTTTCTTGGGGCTAGGCTACTGCCCAGTGAGCACGTAGTGAGGGCAGAGCTGCTGGCACTGACACAAAATTCCTGCATCAGCTACAGCTTTGCTTTACCTTGGCACAGTTTCTGAAAAAAAGGAAAACCTCTTTTCCACAAAATAGGGAGTTTAAAAAACCAGAATAATACCAGCTGCCTTTGTTGAGTTAATTTTGTAGGTTAAGTGAAATAAACATGGAAAACCCTTGGCACAGTTCCAGAAAAATAGAAAAGTGCTAAAAAAAAGTAGTTATGCATCACATAATAACATTTCAGTCAAAGAAGGATCACATATATGACCAGTGGCCCTATATTGTTATAATATTATATTTTTGCTCTATGTTTTCTGTTTAGATATACAAACTATTATGCTATCATTCCCTACAGCATTCAGTACAAGAGCATGCCATACAGATTTGCAGCCTAGGAGCAATAGTCTATACCATAAAGCCTAGATGTGTAGTAGGCTATATACCATCTAGGTTTGTGTAGGTACATCTTATATGTTTGCACAGTGATGGAACTGCATAACGACAAATTTCTTAGTATTTTAAGTGATACATGGATGTAGTTGTTATTATCATCATTCATCTTCTCACTTTATGGCGGGCCTCCATAAATCTGACCAAGAAATATACTGCCCCTGAATCACTTCTTACCTTTTCTCTCTTGCTCTTGCCCTGGACCTGAACGCAGAATGTCAGGGAGAAGTAGGAATATGGAGTACTCCACGTGTCAGGGTACTCCCAGCTGACCTCCACCTGCCGAGAATTCTTTAATGGCTTCAGCTGCAAGTTCTTGGGTGGGTCAGGTTTGACTGTGGAAGAGGATAAACACCCTTTATTCTCCGAATAAGACTTCGGAGTTCAGTGGTTTGGCTTCCCATCCCACTCGCACCTTTGACCAGCTGTGAGTCCACTGGATAGTTACTTAACTTCTGTAAGCACCTGGCTGGCAAATGTGAGGCACCTCTGCTGCAGGTGCTCATGCGGGTGCCTCGGGAAGGCCGTTGTTATCAATGGCCACATCTCAGATCCACATTTATTGCAGGATCTGAGAGATGCTCAGAATCCTCATCACTGAAAAGTCAGATGAGACAACCTCTGCTTTAACGGTTATGAGCCATGCATTGAAGGACCACCCTCTCTGTGCTGAATCCCTCACTCTGCACAGAACATGGAACTGAGCTGAGCCTCTCCCTGAGGATGAGATAATAGATTTTCTATTCACTGCCCTTTCTTTTGTCTTTCATAGCTTTTGGTGCTGGCATGTCTTGGAGCAGTTATAGTCAATTGTCTCTATGCTCAATTTGCTTGTTTATTCCATAAATACTGAGCACCCATTATGCCTGAAGGATACAGCAGCGAGTTTCACAAAGACTCCTTCCTCAATTAGGTGTTCTAGATAAGGGGAGGGGGAGACATGCTACGGGGTGTGATTGGGCTCTGCAAGCCTGGCACTGCTCCATGCAAAGATCACGGTTCCTAGCAGGTGCTTCGTAAATATGCTTTCCTCTGTTTTTAACACAACTGACATCTTTCCTTTTGGTGTCAGCTAAATGTCACCTCCTCAGAGAGGCCTTCCTTGGCTACCCTATGTGAACTAGACCCTACCCACCAAGTACAAACCCCCCATAAGTTTTGAAGCTGGTTTTATTAGACTTTATCATGCTGCCTGGTTAATGAATAAATAGCAAAGGAAATGACTTATGGTGAAATCCCTATCAGCCAATTAAAAAAAAAATGGCGTCCATTTTGGAGGGGTTTATATTCTGAGAAAGAAGTCCCTTTTCAAATGCTAAGGAAAGATTTGTTGGGAATAATTGCCATTAGTAGGGATGCCCTGGTTCTAAACATGAATATTATGCTTCAGGAGCTCTGGGATTCATCATGGAAACTGTGTGGCAGCCAAATAGAAGTGCAGCAAAGAGCCTGCCTCTTCTAGTGGAGCAGATCCGGATTTGAACTGTTAGCTGTAAGATCCGAGATCTGGGGCAAGTTGCTTAACTTTTATAAGACCCAATTTCCTCCTCCTTAAAATGCAGATAATAGTATCTACATCATATTTTTTTTTTTTTTGGATGCTGAATAAAAGAGATAATGCTTGTCAACCACCTACCCCAGTGCATGGGGCATTGTGAACATGTGACAAATGGTATCTTTCTTTATGGAGCACATATAATTGTCCAACACTCACTGATGTCCCTGATGAAGAAGCTGCTGGTGTAGTTTTCATACTTGAGCTTGTGAACGGCATCCACCATGACCTCAATGGGCAGCCTCTCCTCAGCGGCTGGGCAGGCACTGTCCTCCTGACACTCCACCGAGTACTCATACTCCTTGCTGTCCCCTCTGACCCTCTCTGCAGAGAGCATAGGTGCTCCGCACATCACCCCTCTGGGGTCAGAAGAGCTGAAGTCAAAGACAGAAATTAGCCTGTGTTATACACTGGGGAGAGGTTTCCTAGTGGTTTTAGCCAGTGAGGCAGGTAAGGCCTCAGCTGTCTGTCTGAGGACACAGTTTCTCCAACTGGGCTGATTTCTACCCAGAAGGTAAGAAACCACCCTCCCCTGGAGAAAGAGCTTAGCTTCAAGAGCACTTATATGTCTCTGGACTAAATGAATACGGAAGTTTTTTTTTTTTTTTTTTAGGCCTAGAGTCCCTGATTATTAAACTCCCTTGTTAAAAACTTAAACTTATTTTTTAAATAATTTTAATTATAAAATCAATACACACTAATTATAAAAGTAAAAATGATAAAGATTCATATAAAGGAAAGAAGTGTGTGTCTCCTTCATCCTTAACTGCTCTTCCCAGTTAAGGATGGGGAGATTGTTGTGTCTTTCCAGACCTTCCTTTTTCTTTTTCTTTCTCTCTCGCTCTTGTTTTTTTAAGAGACAGGGTCTTGCTCTGTCACCCAGGCTGGAATACAGTGGTGGGATCAGACCTCACTGTACCCTCGAACTCCTAGGCTCAAGTGATCCCCTCCCTCTGCCTCCCAAGTAGCTGGGACTACAGGTGTGTGCCACTACACTTACCTAATTTTTTTATTTTTAATGTTTGTTGAGATGGGGGTCTCACTATGTTGCCTAGGCTGGTCTTGAACTCTTGGCCTGAAGCAATAATTCTGCCTCAGCCTCCCCAAAAGCTGAGATTACAGGTGTGAGCCACTTTGCCTGGCCAGAACTTTTCTGATGAATATTCAAGATAATAGTATTATCCACATTATATATACAATACACATTGTATATATTATTATCCATATTATATATCTTCATATTATATATATATCCACTATATATTTTACCTATAAATATACTATAGATTTTATTTTTATGAACTAGGATCAAATTATATACATATGATTATGTAACCATCTTTTTCCCCTCTGAACATATTATGGGGAGCTCTCTGTGGCAAAACATATAGGTTGTGTTATCCATTTCAATGACTGCACATTAAGCCAGAGTAGTGTGTACCATGTTTTATTTAACCATTCCTCTACTGATTACCAAAATAATCACAGTGAACATGTGCATCTATGTCTTTACACACTTGGAGAAACATTTCTTTAGTAAGCATTTTCCTTTTAAAGATGGGAAAGTGAGACCCCAGTGCTTAATTTACTCAGTGAAATAATGGTAAAGACAGGATGCCTGGGGTTTGCTCCATTATGCCACATTGCTCAGGAACTTAGGTGATGATTAAAGTATGTCACATGGGGGCTAACACATAGGTCTTGTATTTATGGAAATTGCTTTCTTAGGGAAAGTCCAAGTGCATTGGACCAACAGGGAACTTCAGATTAGTGGTGTCAGCAGAAGTAAAAGGAGTTGAGGTGGCCCTGGAAAATTTTGGGAGGCCTCATAGAGTGTTGGAGTCTGGAGCTCTTGTTTTTATTTTTGACTCAAGATACAATTTCGGCAAGTCATTTGTAGCTTTGAATTCTCCTTTTATCCCTTTCTCTGGGGCGATGAGCCTTTAGGAAGCATGGCCAGGCAATTTGGATGAGTGGGTTCAAACATAGCGAAACTATTCTCAGCTTCCAGTAACATCCTGCCCTAACACATATATTTATTCAAACGATTGGCCTAAATCTCCATGTTCTTTCTTCAATGTAGACAAGAAAGGGTGGTTGGAAAAATATGGGTTTAACTTTGCTTTTCCCCTTATCATTAACCGATAGGTCACTGAGATGTTGCCCTTAATTTCTTAATGAAATAATTCTAGCAAAATTCTGAGAAACCAAAGCAGTTTCACTCACCCTCTGCTGCTTTTGACACTGAATGTCAAATCAGTACTGATTGTCGTCAGCCACCAGCAGGTGAAACGTCCAGAATAATTCTTGGCCTCGCATCTTAGAAAGGTCTTATTTTTGGGTTCTGGATTTGAACAAAAATTCAATATTTAGAGTTTTTTCAGAAAGGTTTTGATTGTGATGAATCACAGGTTGCCAGATGGTACAGGGTGAAAGTCTTCCATGTGTTCCCTGTTGGGTAGCTCCGTAAGGATTGGGAGGGTCCCAGTAGGATGCTGATTCTGCAGAGTATACTACACACCTAACACACCCGATAGAGGCATTCATTTTTTCAAGGCTATCACCCCAGTGCAGAGTGATGCACTATTAGTTAATTTCCATTAGCCGTTAAATAATATCACTGTTATTTAAAGAAAACATCAGGCTAAGCATTCAGACTGACCATGAAACTCTCCTAATATAAGATTTTGATGGTTGATCACCCAAAGGGTCCAGGAAAGCTAAGGAAAATGGAGGTTGTGGTGGTTTCAATAAGAGACTTGTGTTAACTCATTAACTACACTTATCATCACTTGCCTTTCCAATATCTTTTTTTTTTCTTTAACTCTTATGAGCAAAAGAAAAAATTGATACTATCTGAGGGCATAGAATTACCTTTCTGGTCCTTTAAAATATCAGTGGACCAAACTCCATCTTCCTTTTTGTGAAGCAGCAGAAGCAAATGGTTCAGAGCCTTGCCTCCTTTGTGACAGGTATACTGGCCAGCATCTCCAAACTCTTTGACTTGAATGATCAGGTTTTTTCCAGAGCCTAAGACCTCATTGCTCTCGTCCAAGGTCCAGGTGATACCATCTTCTTCAGGGGTGTCACAGGTGAGAACCACCATTTCTCCAGGGGCATCCAGGTACCAATCCAATTCTATGACATAAACTGGAATGCACAGAAAGTAGAGAATCAGGCTGCAAGCTCCAGGAACTCTGGGACTGTGTTTTATTAACCCTTTGGGCATTCCCACTGCCTAAACACAACCATGTTCATAATAAGTGTTTGGCAAATGTTTGCTGAGATGATCTCAGGGCATTAGACCCTGCTTGGGCTCAAGGTCATGGAAAAGAGAAACAAAGCCATTGATTCACTGACTGGAAGGCCACCTTTAATAACCTTTGATTATTTAACAGATGGAAACATCTTAACACACCAAAAACTGCAAACAGCACAAGACTCTTGCCAAAGGTCTGGGGAAGAGAAACTTTCAGCACAATTTCAGTTTCATAGAGAATACAGCAGGGTACAATATTTAGCAGAATCACTTAGTGGTTAAAAGTGCAGGGTGTCAAAAATGACTAACCAGGACTGAAATCCAGTCTCCACTAACCAGCTGGGGGATTTGGAACAAGGTACTTAATTACCGTGAGCCTCAGCTTCCTCATCTGTGAAATTATAATAATAACAGTATCCACCATACGTTTGATGGAGGATTAAATGAAAAAAAGGATGTAAAGTACTTAGCACAGTGTCTGCCACACAGTAAATTCTGCATTAATTATTGTTATTTATAGACTGAAGAGTCAGCCAACTGTATAGAGAAACTCTTAAGAATTTTCCATGGATATTTAAGGATTTAGTTCCCTCTGTTTCAAATTACCAATGGAAATGTTCATTCTCTCTGTATTTGTTTTTTTTTTTTTTTCACCTGTCATACACTCTTAGGAAGCAGTCCAATAGATCTTAATCTTCCCATTTTATGAGGTCAAGGGTCTAAGCATGGTCACATCAAGTCAGAAGTGCAAGAGCTACAGCTCAGACCTTCTGTCTCTTGGGCTTTGCAGGGGATGCCTAATCCCAGTGTCTAAACTGGCCTTTGAAGAATGGCTTAGTATAGTATTTCAGAGTGTCATAGCAAATATTCATTCATTTTTTTATCCATATATAAATTATTAGTTGAATAGAATTGTGTAATGTAGTAGTTCCCAAAGCATGATCAATGAAACACCATCAGCAGCATCACCTGGGGATCAGTCAGAAATGCAGATTCTCAGCTGCTGAATCACAAACCTTAGGATGGGTTTAGTAGTACAGTTTTTAAGCTCTCCAGATGGTTTTGATGCCTGCTTACGTTTATGAGCCACAGTGGTTAAGAACCTGGATTTTGGAGTGGCAGAGGTCTGGATTTAGAATCAGCTCTAGCCCTTACTCCAGTCTTGTGACGTTTGGCAAGACATTCAGCTACTCTAAGCCTCAGTGTCATCATCTTTAAAATGAAAAAGCCTATTAGCCCTTGCTTTAGAAGGTCATTATGTGGATTACATAAGCTCATTCACATAAGAGCTTAACACAGTGCCCTTACATGCTTTGTATATGGTGGTTCTTGTTTTTGGCCTCTGGATGTAAAGCATCGTAGAATATAAAGTTTTCACTTTACATCAATTGTATTATAAGGACTGAATGGGTAACAAAAATAAGAGGTCAAAAGCGTTTGAGGTCCAACTCTGGGGAAATGATTAGCTGTGCTGACATAAAACCTTGTGGCACCTTTGGCTTTTTCTAGTTTTTCTTCTCCCCATGACACCTGAACAGCATAGTTACTTTCCTGTCCCAGCTGAGACTTGGAAGCCCTGGAAGACGTTTGCTCAATAGCAGGGAAAACAGCTGCAGGAAGAAGGCTGAAGAAGAGCATCAGGAACCTGGTGCTTAGCCTCCCTGCATTGTCTGCCCTCCTAAGTCACACCTTGGAGCATTTCTCACATTGATTTTCTGGAATTTCTGTGGCTTACCAAATCAGAAGTCACTAAGGGGTTAAATATGTCAGGGCCAAGGTTCCTAAGCTCACCAAAAATCCCAGGGTTGGAAGGGATCTGGCATATTTCCCTGGCTCACGCCTTTGCTTTTACTTAAGAGAGTGTTAAAACCTCTCAAACCCTCATGGAGAAGGGGTGGCTGGATTGCTGTCTTCCCAAAATTCTTGAGAAGAGAGGAGTGGTCCCAAATTTCTTTCAGGTACCCATTTCAAGACTGTACTCTCCAGAATATCAAAAGATTATTTCTGATCATCAGCTGAAATATTTTCATCCTTAATTTATGCCCATTTCCTCTTATTCAGCTCTACATAGACCCAGGAAAAAATTACTTCATGTCCCTGTAAAAACTTTTTCACAAACTTAAGTGCACCGGCTTTGAAATGAGACAGAATTGGGATCAAGTCCCTGTTCCACCCTTACCAGGTATGTGACATTGGGCAAGTTACTTAATTTCTCTAGCCTCAGTTTCTAACAACTGTAAAATGGGATAAAGATGGTCTCTACTTCATATGGTTCTTGTGAGAATTAAGTGAGATACTGCACTTAATAAACATTATTATTATTATACAACTAAAGACAGTATTTGCAAACATTATGATGTTGGCTTCAGGGAGAAACATCTGAGGGTCTTTCAGGTGCAGCCAACAATCAGAATGCACATTTACTGAGTGTGAGATACTAGAAGGATAGGCAGAACCCCTTATTTTACCATTAACTATTGTATAAGTGTAATAATTTTTATTGATCATTGGGGTAATAAATAGTATCTCTGGAATCATGAGAGATATTATTTTAAACAACAAAAATAGTAATACTAGCTGATATTTACTTTCACTTTACTATCTGTTGAGTTGTATTCTGCATTCATTAACTCATTAAATAACCCATGTAGTAGGTGTCTACTTTGTAATAGCCAGTTTACAGTTGAGGAAATTCAGGATCAGAGGTGGCCTAGCTCAAAGTCACATAACCAGTAATTGACAGACCTAGGATTTGAACCCAAGTCAATGTGAGTCTGAATCCTGTGCTTCTTCCAAAGTGACTGGTCAGAGATAAGTCATCACAGTGCCAGCTGAGGGAGCAGTATCATGTGGTAGAATGAGAAATGAACACAGTCGTTCTACTTTGCAAATCCTCCACTTTGGAATTTTAATTGTGTGAAACAGCTGGTTTTCAGTAATACTGGAAAATTTCATATCTCTTTTCCCATCATAGTGTACCAGTGGATCCAAGGTGAAAACCAAATAATATAGATACTATCAAGTTAGAAGAAGGAGATATGGCATTGTATTTTCCCAGAGTGATGGCTTTCTCTAGGAGGACCCAGTGCATGGTTGCCCATTTCAGTTTGATTTCCCACCAGTGGCTGCCCAAGAGTCCTAGCTTAGAAGTGGGGCCTCCATAGAGAAGAATGAGAGGCTGGTTACCATCTTTCTTCAGTTCCCATATGGCCACGAGGGGAGATGCTAGCAAAACCAGGGAAAACCAAGAGATGAAAAACCGCTGGTGGCACATCTATAAGAAGGGAGAGAAGCAGGGGGAAGTGAAGGGGAAAAGAGAAGGAAGAGGAAGGAAAAAAAGAAAAAATGTTAATTCTTGTTAGCTTTGTGAACCATATATGCATATTAGCTATTTTTTTAAAAATAAAATCTTGATTCTCCCCTTTCTTCTCCATACTGTCAAGCAAATACTAAGCAAATCACAGGAGTTCTGTGACAGTCTCTCAGGAAGAACATCTCCAAATAGAGAACCACAGGCTATCTGGGGCTCTGGAGCTGAAAGAGACCTAAGGCAAACTGTCTGATACAATCCTCTTATTTTTAAGATAAGAAACCTAAAACTTAGAGAAGGAATGTGACTTTCTGGATCAACATCTAGCAGTTGTTTACCTAGTGCTTACTGCATAAAGAACACTGGGCTAGAAGCAGTTGAGAGAGAGAAAAAAGGGCTTACCTGGATCCCGCTTCCTAGGAGCAAATACTTTTACTCAATGAATATTTATGAAGTCAGTGTGTTAAATATCTCCCCTCCAGCTGGGGAGATAAGCCACACATGTGTATCACTGCAGCACAAGGCAGTGTATCTGGGATACTCAGAGCTGAAGGACTTGGGTTAGGGACAGGAAAGGTGATACAGAGGTGGACCTTCAAGGTCTGGCAACAACCTGGTCGCCAGTCCTTGCTGTAGGCGTTCAGCTTCTCTTGTTTAGATGACAATTTTTCCAAGTTTAAAGATTACTCTCTCCCACATAGAGAACCTAGTGGTTCTAAAATTTGAGTGACTGTCAGGATAGCCTGGAAGCATTGCTACAACAGACGGCTAAGTCTCGCCCCCAGAGAGACTGTTTCAGCAGGGCTGAGGGCCTGACAATAGGCATTTCTAGAAAGTTTCCAGGTGAAGAAGATGCTGCTGGTATTGGGACCACACCTTGAGAACCAGTAGTTTACCCCATGTTCAGGGTCTAGAACCCCTGAAAATCAAGGTGCTTATTGGGAAAAGACCATAATATATTGATATATCCACCATGAAATAATGAAATGCATAATTTTGTGCTAAATCAGCCACCATCTGATATAGAAACCATTCTAGGTTATTATCCAGGGTTTGCGAAAATCTTCATATTGCAAAAATTACATGCCACTTACGAATGAGGTAGAGATGATTATTGGAACATTCTGAAACAGCTCCATTCACCTTGCAGAACACCCATGGTCTGGAGGATAACATGGGTTCCGAAACTACTGTTTTATGAAGGGCAATGCTCAACTGTTTCAGTCAAATACCTTAAAAGTGAGCATTCCTGGGTTGGGTGACTGAATATTGACAAATCACAGCTTTGTCAGAACTGCTGCTAACCCTAGGGGGACCTTGCTGTGTACCTCATTCCCTTATTATAAATTTGTGAGTGGCAGAAACAGGACTAGAAGTCAAGCCTTCTTGCGTACTGCTCAGTGCTGTCACCACAGCATGGGGTTTTAGGGGCGTGGTTATCTCTTGAGCCTAGGTTATGACTGTGGCAAAGTACTAGCTGGCACAGAGCACTGGTTAGCACAGTCACAGGCTTGAAGTTAAACAGACATAGTTTGGATTTTGGTCCCACCACTCATTTGCTGTGTAATGTTGGCCAAGTCATTCTCTGAGCCTCAGTCTCTTCATCTATAAAATGGACGTAATACTTATCTCAAAGGTTTGTTGGGAAAGGCAACAAGATAACATTATAGAAGGCAAGCAATAACATATTAGCTTGAACCTAAAGAAAGAGGTAAGGGAACAATTTTATATCTCTGTGTTTTATAAACCATGGATAGTCAAAAAGTCATTCCAGGCTGGAGGGAAATGCCCACAGAGGTACTATAATTACATGGGTCTGTAAAACCCAGAGGCTGGCACACTGGAAGGGAAACAGTAGAGATTCCTGGCATCTCCTGGTGATTCCTTTACGCCCACTTATGCTAGGGTTTTCCCACAGGCTGTGCTCAGCAATTCCTCTGTGTGCCTCAGATGCATTTGACAATCTCAGGTGAACTGCACTTCAGGGTCAAGGAAACTCTGGCCATGGTTCTGAGAAACACCTCTCACTTTAGTATCACCTACATTTGAGACCGCAAAGTGCTGTCCAGGAGAGGAGATGGTGGTGGGTCACCTCCTTTGGCTCTCTGGCCCATCAGCTGATTCTAGGGAGCTCTAGCCCTCAGCCCACATTTCCTCAGCATGGTAAGTTTGAGAGTCTTGAGGATTAAAACAAATTTTTGTGTATGTAATTTCATAAGTTTTTCTAAACTCTTCAAACCCTTGCATGAAGACAAAGGGACCCTATGTTAGGTTCTCCTACTTCCTGGGGTAAGCTAAGGGCTTCCCAACACTGGTGCCAACATCTGCATGCCAATGACACTTGGGTGGGCATCTCTTTTTCAAATTTTATTTTTTTTGTTACTTTTAATTAGAAAAGGGAGTTATTATTAAAGAATAAAAAGATATAGTCACTGATGCCATGGGTGGCATATGCAAAGAGGCCCAGTTTGAGGGCCAGGCCGACTTCTAGAACCATCATCCCAGCTATTTCACTAATTAGCTGTGTGACCCTGGGTGAGTCACTTGGCCTCTTTAAGCTTCACACCCTTGATCTGTAAAATGGGCATGCTACTGTGGTAAGGAGTTAGTGACATAATTCACATAAAGTATCGTGGTGCCTGGATGAAGTCAGGACCCACCATTTGCTCCCCTCCTTCCACAGCATTACTGCAATGGCAACACTGCAGTTACTTCTTTACTGTTTGTCTTCTCTACCACACTGAGTGAACTCTCTCATGCCACGGATCATGTTTATCTTGTTTTGTACTTTATCCCCAGAGCCCAGCACAGAGGGATTCCATGACTTATCAGTAGAATGAGGAAACATACAGAAATCATACAATTTCAGATTCCAGTAAAATTAACTCTAAGAGGTTACCCACATTCCCTCTAGTATCTTGAAATTCCTTGTTTTGAAAAGTGGGTCATCACCTGGGGTTTAGTAATCCCTTTGTTAAAATGACATTTAACCTGGCCATGTTGTTGCACACAATTTTACCTGGGCAAGTATCAGATACCGGTACAGTAAAGGTTATCTTTTTTTTCCCCTTCTCACAGATTTAAAAACTCTTCAGGAAGTAATAAAAGCTTTTCATTTTTTAAATGGGCCAAAGTTAATCCACAAGAATGGGGAACACAGTTATCAATTTGTTTTATATCACAACTGACAACCAAGACCGGGAGTAAGTCTGATTTGTAACATTGTTATAAGGTATAATTGTGAATTCAGTTACTCTAAAGAATACATGAAAGGCTTTAAATTTCAACAGTAAGGCAGGCATCACTCACTTTAGCTCTATACAATCCTTTAACTGATGGGAATTAATATTTAGGAATATACTTGTATACATCACTATATACCATTTCAAAATAAGATAAACCTTTCCATAAAATATGCATACGCTCACAAATCTTGCTATACAATTATTATTAGTTGGCTTTTAAAATGAACACTGTACGTCAGTCCCCAAAGTACTGAGTTTTCACAAAATTCCAGCAGGTGACTCACCAGGGGTGCTTCCAGCAATTCACCGACTCCATGCTGCCAGGTGCAAGGGTAGCACACTAATGGTTTCTACACCTGGACAGCTGCAGGCCCACACAGAGGGAAGGGAGGCAGGGGCTTGGGAAGAACTTACCTCGCTCTGGGTAGGATGCAGACTCCAATGGCCCTGAAATAGATGTTGTTTCTTCTGCTGCTGTTGCTTCTACTGGAGCTTATATACTCTGCTCCCTCCAAGCTTTCGGATGGAAACTGACTTGCCAAATTGCAACATTGAACACAACTCTCAAAACCTTTTGGGAAAATTTCAAGAAGTTCCTTTTTTCTCTCTCTCTCTCTCTCTCTGTGCATTAATAATGATGAGGGAAAGTAGACATCAAAACTAAGTAATGAAATAAGAGGAAATGACTTTTGGGCGGGGGAAAAGGGAAGGAGATGGGGATACTCATTTGGGTTTACATCATGGCCAAGGTGCTTAGAGACAGCACTAGGCAGCCTGCCTGGGTTCCACAGATCAGGGAAGAAGGAAGGCCAATGAGGAGTCAGATAGGAGGAGGAGTTCATGTCAGGATGGAGCAACTGTATGCCCCAGGGCTTAAAAGCAAAATCCTGGTTCTTCCCAAGTCAGAGGGGATGAGATGAAGGGCAAAGGGTTTAATACATCTGGAGCACCTTTCTTCACATTATTCCTTTAATTTCAGAAACATACTATTTACCACCTATCTTGGCTCCATGCACCTCTTCCCCCATTCCTCGAGTGTGCACACACACGCGCGCACATACACACACCCATGCACATTCATACAAACACAACCCTGGGGAGATGATAAAACTGCATTTTACCTCTAATAACACTCAAATATGTGCGGAGATACATCCTGTGCTCATAGGGGCAGATGAGAGCAGAAAGTAAAATATCCTCAGGGAGGTACACAGACAACCACACTCAAGGCGCACGCCCTTGGGCACCCAGACTACATCTTCACTTCATTTGCACACCAATCTATGGCCCTAGGAGCTCCGCGCAGATGCACAGGATTAGCAGAATAAATCTCTCCTGGTGGAAGCACACACAGATAGATGCGGGCCGTCCCCAGAGTCGCCGGCAGAGGGCGCTGCGAGGCGGTGCCCGCGCCCCGGAACCTAACCGCGTGCATCCACTTCTCCATCCCAAGCTCTCGATTCCGGCCCCCTGGGCGGGGTACGTTCCTGGGGCGGGAGCGGGGACCAGGCGGGTTTCAGGCGGGGGCAGATTTCTGGGCTAACTTTCCTCGCCTAGCGGGGGAAGGGGGAAATGGGAAACCCAGGCGAGAGCCCGGAGCTTCCCAGCCGCACACTTCCTCCAGAGCGCTGGCCACCAAGCCAGCAGTCCCACTTGGTTATCCGACCTTGTGCTCTGGCGGGGGGGCGGAGACCTTACCTCCAGCTCAGAGCGCCTCCTCCCATCCCCTGTGTCCTCTAGGCCTCCCCAGACTTTGCCTCTTAGACTTCCAGTGAAACAAGTTTTGTATCCATGATATACTATTAGGTGGACAAAGCATGTTGCAGGGTATGTTGGTTGTACGATACCTTTTGTGGGATGTTTGTGTGTGTGTGTGTGTGTGTGTGTGTGTGTGTGTAAATGCACCAGAACCTTTCACAGCTGGTATCTCAGGCATGTGTAACAACTGGGGGCGGGACTTTTTGTAAACATGTATTAATTTCCTCCAAACAAATCGCTAAAGTGTACTGAACAGAAAACTTTATGTGAAATTGATGTGATGTAGTTTCACTAATTTATTTACAGTGGCTGCACCACCACAGATGAGTCCTTGTGCCACCCCAATAAATAAATACATGTATAAAATAAGACAAGTTTCAAAACGACACAAATATTTTATTCATGTGTTCATAAAACATCTTCAGTGTTCACTTCCTCCAGGGACAAGTGGTAGGGATTTAAAAGCAAGGGCTCTGGAGTTAGGAAGCTGGATACCTACACCTGCAAGTTACTTACCTTCGGTAAGCCTCAGTTCCTCACATCTTTAAAATGGAGTTAATAATAGTACCTGATCATAGGACTGGTGTGAAGATCAATGAGATATGATGGGATGCAGTTAGAGCAGCATTCCGGCTAAATGTTTAATGAATGGCTGCTTATACTTATTTATTTTTTATCCTGTCATGTCCCAGAAGGTCTTTTGGTTGCTCACAAGGGGACATCAAAGATGACAGAAAGGAGTGGAAGAAGACGGAGAGAATCAATGTGAGGAGCCGGGAACAGGATTCTGAATTGTCCTTCCACAATGAAATCACTTGGCTATAGCTGAGCCACGGATTTGACTCTGAGCATCTAGGATGAGAAAGAGGAACTGGCATCTGTCCATCTCTGCCCCATGGGACTGACTGTTTTGGTAAGTCCAGTTCACACACGGAGGAAGCAGTTCTCGTACTTTATCTGCATATAATAACAAAATTCAGGTTCTTGGGGCTGAAGCTCAGAAATTGTGATTCAGATCTGGAATCGGGCTCGGAACCTGCATTTTAACAATGGAGGTTCTAATGTGGTCACTGGCAGGTTGTTCTAATGTGGGGACCACAGCCCATTCTCTGAGGCAGGCTGTACACTTGTGCTTCATTGCCTGGAGATACATCCTGTGCTTCACTCATCTCTGGACACCCCACATGGTCAGCCAGCATTCTGCTAATATCAGCCAAATGCCCACTGACCTGATTTTGGAGAAGAGGTTTATCAACATGTTACACTTCACAATTCAGACCCTGACCCCAGGCAAACTGAACCAATACCCATAGCTTTCTGTGGCTCACCCCGTGGGAGAGGAAGGTCTGCTGACAAACAGAGGACATGCTGAGCTGCAAGGTTAATGTGACTGATAATTAAGCTGTGAGATGGAGGCAACCCCCTAAAAACCAAAAATAACCTAAAGAATTTTTTTGGCCACAAAAACGTATTTTCTTCTAGAAGAATGCTTTGATCATCTAGTATACATTTCAAATAAAGGGGAAGCCATGTGTACTCATAAAAATTAAAATGTTTAGAAAATGACATAAGCAATACCTGCTATTGTACAAATGTACATAGAATACAATGTTGAAAGCCTGATTCCTGTGGCTTCCAGAGTAACCATTGCCAACATTCCTGCAGCGCTTCTCAGTGCTTCTCTATGTATTTACATCTATCTGGCTACATAAATGAGATCATACTACACATTATTCTGCAAATTGCTCTTTTCCTGCAACTGTCTGTTTTGTATTCAGCTGCTTGCAGTGACTTGCTAGAGGTCACTTGAACAGATTTCACGTCTGCATCAATTAGGTTACCCTGGGCTTAGTTTTCCAAGGACCTCTGGAGTTCCAGGCATCAATCCACTAAGGACTGATAACATTCTAGATAAGAAAAGACTATCTTTTCCTGTTTGTCTCTCTTAGGAGCAAATAATTTGCCCTAGAAGCTCCCATAGCGGTTTCCTGAAATCTCACTTGTCACCTACCTGTATACCACTCCCTGGCAAGGAGAATGAACTTATTACAAGGAAAATGATAGGCAAGGCAGGTTCACCCTACTAGGTGGAAACTGGTAGGCCATTGAGAGTCAGGAAACCACCCTCACAGGGTTGACAAGAATTGCATGCTGGGTTCTGGACAGAAATATAGTTATAATTCAGCATTAATGAGGCTGCACCTTGGCCCATTTCTGTGTGGCTCCAAGTCACATAGCACTAGATCCGAATCATTCCGATAGACAGGATTTCTGATGTTAGGGTCATAAGACTGTGTAGGAATTGATTTGCATCCCTATTTTCCTTTAGATAGGACCTCTGATATTACAATCATAATGCTTTTGTTTAAGAATCACTTAAGTCGTTTTTCATGTCCCCAGTTCTACCACATTTCAGTTTGAAAACCCCCACAAAGAGAGGGGATCAGCATAAAAATACAGCTTCATCTTGTCCCATGACTTTGCCCTGCACTCTTCAACCAGTCAGCCATCTCCAACACATTGGCCCACTCCAAAACTCTTAAAAACCCTAGCCCCAAATGCCACAAGGAGATAGATTTAAAGTTTCTTCCTGTCTCCTCATTCGGTGACCCTGCGATTAAACCTCTTATCTTCTGCATCCCGGCCTCTCAGCGTATTGACTTGCTTTGTGCAATGGGCAATGAATCTATTATAGATACGGTCACATGTGTCTGTTAGGTGAGCCCAAGGGATTTGTGCGGCCAGTGAAGTGCAGAAATAGGGCAATTGTAAGGATGATGAAAACTAAGCCTTCTTCCCCTGAGAGGGTCAGTTGCTTTTGAAGGGACACTTCTAGCCTAGGGGCAAAGGAAGTAGCTTCTACCTCTTGCCTCAGAGATAAATGCTTTTACCGAAAAAAGAGTGAAAGTGTTACAGTAGATAGCTAGTCAGACAGGAGCAGGGCAGAAGAGGGTCCCCCCATCCCTGCCCATCACCACCAGGAATGTCAGACAACCATCAGGTGAGGATCAGATGATTATTAAACTGTCTCTCTAAAATAACAATTGGCCACTGCTGGTACAAGGAAGAGGCAGTAGATAAAATTAGATTAAAAACACCTGAAGGCCGGGCGCAGTGGCTCACGCCTGTCATCCCAGCACTTTGGGAGGCCGAGGCGGGTGGATCACGAGGTCAAGAAATCGAGACCATCCTGGTCAACATGATGAAACCCTGTCTCTGCTAAAAATACAAAAAATTAGCTGGGCATGGTGGCGTGTGCCTGTAATCCCAGCTACTCAGGAGGTTGAGGCAGGAGAATTGCCTGAACCCAGGAGGCGGAGGTTGCGGTGAGCCGAGATCGCGCCATTGCACTCCAGCCTGGGTAACAAGAGTGAAACTCCGTCTCAAAAAAAAAAAAAAATAATAATAATAATAAAAATAAATTAAAAAAATAAAAAATATAAACTAAAAACACCTGAAGCTGGTGATCAGCAGCTTCCCGATAAGATCTCAGGAGTTGGGTGAGTGGGCTCAAGCATGCACACTAGGAGGCAAAATGGTCGAATTTAACTGGTGTATGAGCTTCTTCTAAGTAGAACACTTGACTGGTAAGGGAAGAGTGCCTCAAGTGAACATGCATGCAATTTCAGTAAACATACTGCATATGTGGCCCCTCCCAAGTGCTGGCAGGCCACTGTGCATGTGGGCAGCCCACCCCAAGGGAAGAATCAGGGAGAAGGGAGGCAAACCCCAAGAAGCTTGCCAGCATATGCAACCCTAAATGAAAGGTTAAACTACACACTTGAATCTCTCAAATCGCCCTCCCTCTTCCAAGTATACTTCCTTTTGTTCCTGCTCTAAAACTTTCTAAATAAACTTTCATTCCTGCTCTAAAACTTGCCTGGATCTCTCACTCTGTCTTAAGCCCTTTGTACAAATTCTTTCTTCCGAGTAATAGGACAGGAGGCGGAGAAATTCTAGGCAGAAAAGGGTGGGGGTCTTTAGCAAAGCCCCACCCCTCAAGCCTGGTGCCATGGCCCAAAATGAGTAGTGCATTCCTGTTTTCCCACTCCAATGTTGCTTTTTCCCAAACCACCTGTGGCCTGTCCGGAAACCCCCATCCTGTATCCATAAAAACCCCAGGCCCCACTGGCAGAGAGTAGAAAAGGGGAGGAGAGGAGAAGCAGCTGAATGTTGGAGAGAAGCAGTTTGACTTCAGAGGGATGACTTGATGGCAGGACTTCAGGGGAAGAATACCTTCCTGGTCCCTCCCCTTTCCAACTTCCCTTCCTGCAGAGAGCCACTTCCAGCAGCAATAAAATCCTCCACATTCACCACTCTTCAATTCGTTCATGTGACCTGATTTTTCCTGGACACGGAACGAGAGCTCAGGTGCCACAGGTGAGGACGCTAAAGGCTGTCACACTGACCCTCTGCTCTGGTGAAAAGGTGGAGGGTTCACTGAGTTGTTAAACACTTAAGCCATCTGTGGACAGCAAAGCTAAGAGTGCACTATAACACATCCCCTGGTGTTCCAGGGGTCATGGGTACTCCCCCCTAGATGCTGCTGCGGGGGCCCCCTGCACAGAGCTTTGGTTCTGCCAATGCCCAAAAGCGCTTGCTTTGGCTCCTGCACCTGCTCACCTGTGTGCTCCCCCTCCCATGAGGGGTTGAGAGCTGTTGGCTGAGTAAACGAGGCGCCCCTGTCATGAGGCCTGTGAAGGGGTCAAGGAAAGTTTCATGTTTCATAAGGAGGCAAGAATTGAAGTTCACCAACACTAACGTACTTTGGTGCTATGTGATTTTGGTGCCACGTGACTTGGATACGTTCCCTAGCGGTAACAAAAGGCTCTAGAGCTCAAAATTTAACAGTGTATATATGAGTGGTATGATGGTGAATGATTTTTGTTTTCTTTTTTATGGTCTCTTAAATTTTCCAGAATGTCTACAATGACCTCGTATTTCTTTTCTAATCAGAAAAAAAAAAAAGGTTACTGAAAGAAGAAAGTGAAGCACATGTAAAAGGCAGGGTATATAGTGGATCCAGAAATTTGTGTTTTATAATCTGACAGGCCCAGGTTAGACCATAGTTCATATTTCAAATACAATTTTACATGTGCTCATAGCTGAGAACCTTCTCCTGGGATGGATGTAAGTTACCAGGTAACTGCTGAAATGCTGTACTTTTCTGGGTGGTGATGAGGAAGCATCTGTTTTAGGTGTGGTATTTACTGGAGGCAGAAAACTCCTTGAAGTTAGCTCATTCCGTTTTTCAGGGGCCCTTCAAATACATGGTGTTTTGTTTTGTTTTAATGCTTTGCAAAAGATTCCTAGAGTTGAAATTCCCTTTGCAAAAAATTATAACAGTGAGGAAATTATGGCAGCGAAAGGGATCTGACCTAACTGACCCCATCTTACTTCTGGCTATCTTTGCTCATTCCTGTGTGTGGGCCATGCTAACTTTGGGAGAAATTTAATTACATGATAATGGCCCTTCCCAGAAACTAAATTGCCCTTGTAAAACTAATGAAAAGGGTTGAGAGCGGTGGCTGATGCCTGTAATCCCAGCACTCTGGGAGGCTGAGGCGGGTGGATCACTTGAGGTCGGGAGTTCAAGACCAGCCTGACCAACCTGAGAAGCCCCGTCTCTACTAAAAATACAAAATTAGCCTGGTGTGGTGACACATGCCTGTAATCCCAGCTACTCTGGAGGCTGAGGCAGGAGAATCCCTTGAACCCAGGGGCGGAGGTTGCAGTGAGCTGAGATCGCACCATTGCACTCCAGCCTGGGCAACAAGAGTGAAACTCCGTCTCAAAAAACAAAAAAACAATGAAAGGACACCAAGCTAGGAGGATGAGAGGGGCCTGAATTCTATTAGGAAATATGCCTAGGTAGCCATTATTTAGGTGGTGTAAAGATTTGCAACTTCCCCGCTTACTCCATCAGATAACATCACTGTTTTAGAATCTGAGACTGGCCTTTGGAGAGGTCTTTTCAGGTTTTTGCGTTTCTGACAACTGTATGGGCCCCACCCAGAAACCAACTCAACACAAGAAGACAGTTTCCATTCCCTATGATTTCATCTCCAACCCAACCAACCAGCATTCCCTACTTGCTGGCTCCTTACCCACCAAACTATCTTTGAAAAACCACTAACCTCTGAGCCTTCAGGGAGACTGATTTGAGTAATAATAAAACTCTAGTCTCCTGTACAGCCAGCTCTGCATGAATTAAACTTTTTCTCTGTTGCAACTCCCCTGTGTGGATAAATCAGCTCTGTCTAAGCAGTGGTTCAAGGAGAACCCGCTGGTTTGTTAGAATCAGCTTCACTTTCAAAGGGTCTACAATGTCCCCATTAATTTCCTTTCCTTCAAAGATGACTCTTATCACATGTTTATAATATCGTCCTCCACCCTTGGCCCATGATAAGGGCAGAGGGTGGTAGATGCAGTCACTGCTGAATGTCATTATCCAAGTGGGCATTTTTGGCCTGCTCAACTGGACCGACTGCAGAGTGAGTGTTCCACTTTGACCTTGATTTTGCCATTTGCATGTGGAAACCTTTTTTGTTTTCGTCTCTAAATGCAACTCTTTGGTAATCCCAGTGAAAGAAATGGGTGTGTGGGTGACCAGAAGGAAGTGGGTGCGTCCTAGATTGTAGGGTTGCTGAGATGTAGAAATGGGTATGCTGGAAAGGTATGAGAACAGTTGGTCTGGTCTTGCTGTTAGTAGACACAGGTAGAACAAGGCAAGGTGGGAACAACATGGAGTAGGCAGATGTTTGTGGTGAGGTCCTGTCATCTGTTGTCTGAGGGTCCCCTATCAACATCAACTCCAACCAACAATTATTGAATATTAACCAGCACCCCCAGCATTTATAGGATGAATTGTTAAAGCACCATCCAATATAGCACATTCCTGCTGCTACTCACTCTAGAGCACATAGAATTCTCCTGGAGAGAAATAGATTGACCAAAAAACGGGGTCTGCAATTTGGAGCAACTTCCATTGTGACAGTTGATTTGGGGCTCACATTTAAGGCTGCATTTGTTTCTTCATTCACCAAAAATTTATATTAATATTCATCAGGCTTTTATTTTATCTTGTTCTGGAAATCTGCCCTGAAAATAACTGACCCCTGGTCTTCTGCGCTGTCATTTTCTCTCTAATTTTTGGCTTTGAAAATATCTGTCATCTATCTATCTATCTATCTATCTATCTATCTATCTATCTATCTATATTCTTGATGGTACTTTAAAAAGTAACTCATGTCCCTGGTTTAAAATAAATCATGCTGGGCATGGTGGCTCACACCTGTAATCCCCATACTTTGGGAGGCTGAGGAGGGAAGATAATTTGAGGCCAGAAGTTTGAGATCAGCCTGGGCAACATGGCAAAACTCCATCTCTACAAAACATTTTTAAAAATTAGCTGGGTGTGGTGGCCCAGGCCTGTGGTCCCAGCTACTCAGGAGGCTGAGGCAGGAGGATCACTTGAACCCAGATGGCTAAGGTTACAGTGGGCTGTGATTGTACCACTGTACTCCAGACTGGGTGACAGAGAGAGACCCTGTGTCCAAAAAAAAAAATCAAATAGTACAAAGGTTACTAAGTGTGTCTACCTTCTTGAGGTGCCTCCCTGGTCCCCCCGTGTGAAAGTTGTGTATACCACAGATCCAAATCAAGTTGTCCCAAATACCATTCAGACTTGGCAATGATCTTCCAGTCATTTTACTTGAACATGGAACAGCCTAATAGACAGAAACTCAATTTCATTTGTTTTTTAATAGGTAAGAGATGTTCCTTTTAGACCTGGGGAGACAGAAAGAATCTTAAGACTTGGGCACTGTCACCAACCGGTTACACTCCAGTTAGGGAGACTTGACAAGGCATGAAAGTTAAATAATGCCAAAGACAAAAATATGAAAAGGTGGGGTTAATTAGTCACCAAAGGCATTTACATCTAAGGCATTATCATGTTTGCTATGTAGGTGCCAATAATAATGAAATGCCACTCTGTAGATTTGGGAGGCCAGAAAATTTAACAAAAAGGAAAGTGGCATCCTCAGTCTTATCAGCGGCAGCAAAGCAAACAGACACTGGAGATGCACAGTCATGGGTTTGGGTCCCAGCTCTGTTCTACATACTGGATGATCTTGGGCCAGAAAAACCTTCTGAAATGCTTTGGGTTGCGCAGGGCCCCAGTTAAAATACCTATGCACGATTTAAATTGACACTTGTTAACCTTGCAGTTATTTACTGAGTGAAAATTACACATCAGGTACCCAGCTAAATTCTGCGAATGTAGTTATAAGCAGAACAGACCTGGACTCGGTCCTCATGGAGCCATATGTGCAGAGGATAAAATACTTGAAGGAGATGAATGGGTGGTGAGACAAAGAATCACAGAGGAGGGATCTCTGATGGGGTGGCATTTAAGATGGGACCTGCAGGTGAACCAGGATGAGAATCAGCAAGAAGCCCCTATGATAGGACAGGACTTGGCAGATTGGAGGAACAGAAAAAAGGTTGGTGTGACTTAAGCACAAAAGAAAGGGAGAGATCCCAGGGAGCCTGAGGCCGGTGCACGTGGCTGCATAGGCCCCATGTAGTAGGCACCTTTAGCACCAAAAACATGGTAAAGTCTCTGAGCTGAAACAGCCACGACAACCAAAACCAATACCCAAGGATGCTTTGTCGTAGGATCAGGTACCAGTGAAGTGCTTGGGAGCTGTGAAACATGGCTAACTCGACCAGACCAGAAGTATCCAAATCTTCCTTGGTCGCAGAACCCTTAGGCCTCAGTAATTTTTTCATGGCATCTGTAGGCCAAAAGAAATACCAAACAGATCCATTGATTAAGTAGTTAGGGTCAAATCGCTAAAAGTCTTTATGTGCTAACAACTTTTTAATGGCCATTTGAAAAAAATGATACATTGAAACAAAAAACAATATTTTTATTGTATTCTTTAATCAACACAATTACTTACTAATGGGATGTGTGGCTTTGGGCAGTGTACAACTCCTTAAACTTCAGAATCAGAGTGCGCACTGCCACTTTCATTTCCTGTTCCACACTGATTTCCTTGTGGCACTTGCTTTTTGTCACAGTAACTGCCAAAAACATGACTTCCCCCAAATAATGCCATCACTGAAAGGAGTATGATATGATCTAATGTTGAAACCATGAACAACCCTGAGTTTGTGCAGTATTCACCAGATACAGAAGATCCCTTCTTTCCCTTGGAAAATTTAAACTACAGTCCTGTGAATTTACTATGCCACCACAGGGTGACCTGGTAGACAGCTTGGAACCACAGCTAGCCTAGTACTTTCAAACTGTGAGAAACTCAGATATCTCTTTGCCACCAAATCCCTCCTCAGGGCCATGTGTGACCCTGCATTTTGTGCAGGGATTCCAGGAAGGAAAGTTGTCGCCCTTTCTGGAAACTGTATACTATTTGTCCAACCATCAGTAGGGACACATCCGGAGTGCTAACCCAGCCTGGCTTATTTGAATAGAGGGAAGGAGGAAAGGGGTGAGTAACATGTACAGATGGTCAGCAATAGTATGAAAGCATGTGAGGTAGAACCAAGAGGAAATGAGTAGGTGATATGCAACCATAATTCTGGGGCCCTCGATGAAGAAATGAGTGCTGAAATTCTGAAGCGTTTGTTATTGTGCAGACCTGCAGTTAAGCTGGCTAAGCATTAGGTGTTGTCTCTGCAAACAGGAACATCCGGCCGGAAGCCCATTAAAGAGCGGAAGAGCAGAAATGCAGAGGAGGAATTCAACATCTGCTCCACCAGCATGTTCCTTGGTCTCTCTCATCTGCTTCTGTAGCTGGATCACATTCCTGGTGAGTGAGAGAAAGTATGAGGATTAATGAGCACACCTGTCTTTGGAATACCCTGAACCATGATGCAATGTAAATATCACAGTGTCTCAGAGGACAGTAGCTAGTAGAGCCAATTGACTTCAAGTCAATTTAACTTTCTCTTTTTGCATAATGTCATGTATGCAAATCTCTCAGGATGGCTGAGATGCTGATGAAATGAGTTCCCATGGCAACTGGAAGATTATCCTTACATCATCTTTGTGATGAGTAAAGTTCAGTGAAGACCACAGGGAAGTAAAATTCTTGCTTCTCACTGAACTTGGATTGTTTACTCAACCTCTCTATTGCTTGGTTTCCTCATCTGTAAGATGAGAATAACACTGAGATGGGAGAGTTCCCTTGACCCCCTCATGGGACTTGCGACAGGGGTGGCTTGTTTACTTGGTCACTGCACTCAAACCCTTTGCAGGAGGGGGAGCACACAGGAGAGCAGGAGCAGGAGCTGGGGTGAGTGCCTTTGGCTGCCATCAGGAACAAACCCTGTGCCAGCCCGTGGCAGGATCTAGGGGTTGTCTGTGACCTCTGGAGCCCAAGATGGCATGTGTTATAAACAATGCTCTTTTAGCATTTGCTTTCCACAGATGACTAAGTGTTTACCAACTCAGTGGAGGGTCAGAATGAAAGCCTTTTACACCCTGCCCTTTTGGTACCTGGCTTCTTGTCTGGAGTCCAGGAAGCATCAGGTCACATGGACTTGAAGGATGGTGAATGTAGAGATATTAAGTGGTGGAAGTGGCTCTCAGTGGGATAGGGAATTAGAAAGGGGATAGAGTGGGAAGATATTCTTCCTCTGGAGTTTGGCCACTCCCAAACTCCTCTCTGACTGTAGTCTGTTATCTAGCTTCCTCTTCTCCTCTTGATGTTCAGGCAGGCACTTCTCTTCCCTCCTTCTCTGCTGTACCACTCTGCTCTTCTGCCAGTGGAGCTTGGAGTTTTTATGGGTATAGGGTGGAGGTGGGGCATGGCAGGCCAGGGTGGTTTTGGAAAAGGCAACATTTGGGTGGGAAAACAAGAATGTGAAGTTCTTATTTAGGAATCATCTTAGGCTTCATGGAGGATGTGACATTTACAATCAGCTTTGAGGGTGGGTAGGCTTTGGACAGGCAGGGATGGGGCAAAAGAACATTCTGGACTATGGGCACAACAAGAGCTAAGGCTAGGAGGAGGGACTGTGTAACTCTGAGATGGAGAATAGGGAGGAGACCTCAAAGCAGGACCTTAGGCTCTAAGGGAAACAAGAGAGATGGATTCTGCTGACAAGACAGTAAAGCAACCTGCCTGTCTGGTGGTAGACACTGTGTCAGCATTCTAGGTTGTAAATATGGGAAGTGAGCAGATCAGAGGTTTGCTCAGCAACCTGCCTAGTAAGACAAACTGCTTGCTCTTGAGGCCACATAGTCCTTCTGGGGCAGCTCTTCAAACCAGAGTCCACATAGGCCGGTACTCAGTTCTTGCAGTGATGCCCCAAACCAGATAAGAAAATGATGTCATGGAGATCTGGAATCTACACCCAAAAGTCCAGCTTTCATTCTAATGCATGCCTCCATTAAAACCGTCTTGTGTGTGTTCAGAGATGAGGGATGAAAGAGAAACTTCACAGCAGAAGACGCTCTCAAAGTCATGCAGGGATCTGCACCAAGTCAGTCTCCTCTTTCTCCCTTTTCCCTAGCGATACTTACTTTTGAGATCCAAAAGGGCTGGGCTGACTTAAGTTTTCTCCAGGGCAGACATTCCTGGGAGAAAACGAGGGGCTTCTTGAGAGGAAATGAAAGGAGACAGAGATCCGGTTTTGCCTTAAGGTTTTCTGATGTGAACCACTGAGAAGAGTCATTTTGAAATAGAAAGATGGGTCTGACAGTGTGATGTAAATGCAGGCATTTGGAGTCCCTGCTGGAGAACACTCAGAGCTGAGTAGGGGTTCTCCAGTGACCTTGTGGGAGTCTTTGGCTGGGAAGGTAGCTTCTGGAGCTAAAAGGGTACAGGAATAGAAAGCACACCACCTGGGGTCTTCTGATCCAGTGTTTTCCAAAGGGCAAGTGCCCTGTCGGGCGGTTTTAGACTGCAAAGGAGCGACTCATTAACAGTAACAAATTACCAATGAGAACTTTCCCGATATCAAAGTTACTTTTCAGTTCTTTTGATGCTAAGGAGAAAGTCTTGGTTTTAGGCTAGTGTCTCTTTAATACCTCCCTATCACTTGTTGGTCTCTCTTCTGAAGAGAGGGCAAAGCACTCTTCAGCCTCAGAGGCATTAGCAGGCAATAGTATCTATTCTAGAGGGTCTCATCCTTGGCTGCATGATGCTATTTCCTGGGGAGAGCTTTAAAAAGTTACTTGCGCCTGATTGCTTCCTCCCCAGAGGAATTCCAATTTAATAGGTCTAAGTTCTGGCTTGGGCATTAGGATTTTTAGAAGCTCTCCAGACAACAGTTTCTAATTAGAATTGTTTTGTATTATAAATATTAACCTTCTATTAATGGCACGTGATACTGGTTTTCTACTGAACATACTGAAGTAAAATTTCCTTTCAACATCAGATGACTTTCATAAAAACAGTAAGTGCCTGTTAAAGAAAAGTAAAAACAAAAGGCGGGAAGATCACTTGAAGCCAGGAGTTCGAGATTAGTCTGGGCAATGTAGCGAGACCCTATCTCCTCAAAAACAAAAACAAAAACAAAAAGCCAGGCATGGTGGTACGTACCTGTAGTCTCAGCTGCTGAGGAGGCTGAGGTGGGAGCAGTGGGAAGATCACTTGAGACAGGGTGTTCGAGGCTGCAGTGAGGAGCTATGACCATACTACTGCACTGGTGTGACAGAGCAAAAAGAAAAAAGAAAAGGAAAGGTAATAACTATATAATGCAGGGATATTTGGATATGGCAAAACCAAAATATGCCATTCAGTGAACTTTGCCAAACTCTCCTCTGGTCCTTGCTTAGCATTCCTGTCTTCTGGTAGACCCAGTTTGGGCCTCAAGAATGAAATGGGAGTAATTATCCCAGGTTGCATTTCTTCGTGGGATTACCCTGGGAATCAAATGATTGAGCTTTGTTAAGTATTATTTAACAAATATGAGGAAGGAAATAAAAGGGAGAAGATCAGTGCTGCAGAGATGGCTAATTGACAGATTTACACAGAATTGGATTTTTTGGGTATGTTAAACCAGGCCATTTGGAACTTCTGAGTTCCAAATACCATCTTCTCTCCCTTCCCATCAGAATGATCCACTGGTCTGCATTAAAGGTATCTTGAGTGCCAGTAATGATTTATTTCTCCGGCGGCAATAAACTAAAGAAGATTGAAAGTCCCACCAAGACTCCCAAGGATAGCGTGTTAGCGTTCAAGCTAAACAGCCTGTATTGCAGACCCTGCTAGTCAGGGTCTTCTGGATATTGCATTGCATATGTGAGGACTGGCCTGGTCCTTTCCAGGCTGAATTCTGCACTTAGCAGCTCAGTGTCCTTTCCACGGGCCCCAGTTCCTCATCAGGAAGGTGAGGGGCTTGGACTAGTGAAGGATCAAGTATAAATGCAAATACCTCCAATACCAAGGAGGTAACTGAAGTGTGAGGCTTTGCTAAGGGAATAGGGGTGGTCAGGCCTACAGCAAAGTAGAGACTACAGTCCCACAATAAAATTCAAGTTTTGAAAACCATGGGGTTGTTAAACAACAGTTTGGCAAAGTGACGGTGATTCCTGGGTGTGATGGTTTCTAAAATTCATTTCTAAAAATGATTTTATAATAGTAAAATAAATCCAAGGAGCCTACTGGGGGTTTTTGACATGACCACTGTACTCAGTGGTACCCAGGGGCTTCCCTGATAATAAGAACTAATACTTAGAATAAAAGCTAACATCCAAATGCTAAGTTTAAAACCATGTAACCCTCATCATAACTGTGTGAAGCCAGTACTATTATTACAGCCTCATAACATATGAGGAAGTTGGGGTTCAGAATGTTTAAGTCATTTGTGTAAAATCTCTAGAGCAGCACTGTCCAACAGAAATATAAAGTGAGCCATGTCTGTAATTTTGAATTTTTTTAGTAGCTATATTAAAAAATAAAAAGAAACAGATGAAATTAATTTTAACAGTGTATTTTATATAACCCAATATATACAAAATATTATCATCTGAAAATGTAATCAATGTAAAAATTAACTAATGAAATGCCTCGTATATTTTTTGTACTGTTTACAATTTAGTATTTCTTCTTCTTTTTTTAAAACAAATAGCCTTATTGAGATATAATTCATATACTATAAAGTTTGCCCATTTAAAGTATACAATTCAATGGCTTTTAATATATTCACATACATATAACAATTGTAAATATAAAATTGTGTAAAATGTAGTATATTCACATATGGTTACACACATATGTTTACACACTTGAATATACTAAATTTTACACAATTTTTATTTATTATTTTTGATTTGAGACAGCGTCTTGCTCTGTTACTCAGGCTGGAGTGCAGCATTGAAATCATAACTCACTGCAGCCTAGACCTCCTGGGCTCAAGCAATCCTCCTACCTCAGCCTCCTGAGTAGTGGGACTATAGGCATCTACCCTGGCACTTGGCCAATTGTTAAATTTTTTGTAGAGGTCTCACTCTGTTGCCTGGGCTGGTCTTAAACTCCTAGGCTCAAGTGACCCTCCCAGCTCAGCCTCCCAAAATGCTGGAATTATAGGTGTGAGCCACCACAATTTTAGAAACTTTTCATCCCCTTGAGATGAAATCCCATATCTTTTGGCTAGCACTCACCTACCACCCTGGCCCCCATGAACAACCCCTAATTTAAATATCTACAGATTTTATATTTATCTAATTTAAATATCTACCGATTTTCCTATTCTGGACTTTCCTATTCTGGACTGTCATATGAGTAGAGTCATATGATATGTGTTCTTTCTTGTCTGGCTTCTTTCACGTAGTGTGATGTTTTCAAGGTGCATTCATGTA